TCACATTCAGGGCAGGGCCAATGGGGAGGTTATGGCTCTACCCCGTTACACACAGAGCAAGGCCCGTGGGAGGAGGGGGGGGGGGTTGGGGTGCCGCACCCTGTCACACACAGAGCCGCAGGGCGATCAGGAGGTTGGGGAGCTCCCCCCTATCAGGCACAGAGCAGGGCTGATCAGGGGGTTGGGGCACCTTCCCCTGTCACGAACATAGCAGGGCAGATAGGGAGGTTGTGGCCCCACCCCCTGTCACACACAGAGCTGCAGGGTGATCAGGGGGTTTGGGCGCTGCCCCCTGTCACGCTGATCCCGGTGCCGGGAGCCTCGCTGCTCCGCTGATCCAGGTGCTGGGAGGCATATTACCCTTTTACTATATAGGATAGAGGCCTGGTGCATGGGTGGCGGCCGGCTGGTTTGCCCTGAAGGGTGTCCTGGATCAGGGTGGGGGTCCCCACTGGGGTGCCTGGCCAGTCTGGCTGAGGGGCTGAGGGCTGTTTCCAGGCTGGTGGGTTGACTGAAGCTCCCAACCGCTCCTTTTTTTCTTTTTTTTTTTATTCTGGGCCAGCTTTAGCTCTGAGGCCTCGGCTGCTGAAAGCCGGTTTCTGGCCTTTGTTTTTCCTTCTGTATTTGATACAATGTTGCGGTCCGGCTGGCTGAAGCCTGGCTGACTAACGCAGGTTTCTGGGGTTTTGTTTAGCTTCTATATTTGCAACATAGTTGCTTAGAGTTGCAGCTGAGAGGCCGGCAACTGAGGCGGGGAATGTTGGAGTCCGCCATCACTGGAGCAAGCAAGCCTCCCTGTTCGCTTCAGTGCATGGCTGCCGGCCGCCATCTTGGCTGACAGTTAATTTGCATAAGGATATGCTGATTAGCCAATAGGAAGGGTAGCGGCCGTACACTAATTACCATGTTTCTCTTTTATTAGTGTAGACTAGAGGCCCAATACACAAAATTCGTGCAAGAGTAGGCCTTCCTTTCCCCAGCTGCCAGCACAGGCTTCCCTGACACCCAGGACCCAGGCTTCCCTTGCAGCACCAGCTTTCGTCCAGAAGGTCGTCTGGAAGGACATCCAGTCTAATTAGCATATTATGCTTTTATTATTATAAATAGATAATAAATACTGAAAAATGGCCACCCGAAGCAAGAAAACATATGTTTACTAACTTCCTTCATATTCTGAAAAATCCAGTGTTGGATGCATCTAAATATTGTTAATGGTGAATCACATAATTTAAAAATTTAGATTAATCCAACGTGTGCAGTTCTACTGAGCCATGGTGTAATCAGAACATGGACCATGCCCTACCAGTACCAGAAATAAAGGCTTTATTCATACTTGCTTTCCTTGTGACAGTCAGCCTTCCCAGTGCCCCAGTTTCATGATATAATTTTATGAACTGCAATACAATTGAGAACTCTGACAGTCTGACTGCCTGGGGTCAAATCACGGCTCCACCACTTACCCTCTCTGGCCCTCAGTTTCCTGGTCTGTAAAATGAGGATAAGAACTATACCTCGCTCATGCGATTGCTGTGGGAATCGAATGTGTGAAGAGGACAGAACAAGGTCGGGGCTGTAGCACTTCTATGGTTCTGCTTCATCTACAAGTACTAATTGGGTCAGCTTGCTGGTCTGCATTGTGGTCCATTCTTTCAGAGAGGGTGCTGACCCCTAAGATTGTGACTCTGTGGTTCTCAGGAAAATCCAAGGACAAAAAGGAAGCTCTGGACCCTGGTACTGCTAGGTTCCTCACAGCCAAAAAAAAAAAAACTAGAGAGAGCTTACCAACAGAATTGTATTTTTGTTAGCAAGTCCTCACCCATAATAAAATGATAGACTGACATTCTTAGAAAGTCAAAGACTTCTAATTCTGGCAACACAAAGTAGAAATAATAGTCCCAATTTTCAAAAAGTGCTTACTACCAGTGAAAATGTTAAGAGCTCTCATGACTTTACCCGTGGATTACAAGATGCATGGTATCTCCCCTGGCTAGTGCCAGAAATACAAATTAAACTACCTGGAGAGCACTTTGTAATATACACAAATGCCTTGACAATCTATACACCTCTGATGCAGATACTGACTCTATTTCCAAGAACACACCCTGAGGAAATAATCACCGATGTCTATAAAGACATCTGCATACAACCGATCATTTCAGTGTGTACTCAACTGTTAACGAAAACAGAAACAACTTCCATTTCTAGGAAGAGGAGAATATTCATGAGGTATGGGATATTTTCTGCGTCAGTGTTTCCCAAAGCTGTGTGCCATCAGAATCACCTGGGCGCTGACTAGACCACCAGAGTCCCAGGAGCCTTCCCTGGAGATTAAGGTTCAGCAGGTCTGGGCAGCTGCCAAGGAATCAGGTGCTTCCTGAGACAAGGCAAGTGTGGGAAATCCCCTTTATGTAAAAGAACATATATAAACATTTAAAGTGCTAAAGTCAAAGTATACCTAAATATGAGGGAAAGTTCATAATGCCTTGTTAAGTGAAAAGCAGCTTATTTCCTGAACATTATATAGTATATTGTATTAAAATTTTATATGAAACTTTTACATATATAATGTAAATGGGAAGACACATTCCAAAATTTTGAAGAACAGATACTTCTGGATGGCAAAAATATGAGTGATTTTTGCCTCCTACTTTGTATTTATATGCAGTCACTCAATTCTCTGCCATGAGCATGCCTGACTCCTAATACCAAGTTAAGTCCTTAGAACCAAACTCTCCATGAGAAGCATCTTTTCTTTCAAAAATAGAAGAAAAAGAACAAAGAGGGCTGTCAGAATATGTCAGCTCTCATTAACATCACAAAAGCATGGCTTGCTTTTGCTCTATTTATTTTTGTTTTAGAAAGTTAATTTGAATCTAATTACAATTGAAGCTTCTCAAAGCATTTAAAAAATGCTTCCTCGAGAAATAAAAAAGAGTGTTCTCTCTTCGGAACCTCTGTTTTGGAAACAGACAGACAAATTAATGAAGCTCTAAGGCAGCGGTTCTCAAACTGTGGGTCGAGACCCCTTTGGGGGTTGAACGACCCTTTCACAGGGGTCGCCTAAGACCATCGGAAAACACATATATAATTACATATTGTTTTTGTGATTAATCACTATGCTTTAATTATGTTCAATTTGTAACAATGAAATTGGGGGTCACCACAACATGAGGAACTGTATTAAAGGGTCGCGGCATTAGGAAGGTTGAGAACCACTGCCTAAGGAATCAGTGGGGCACACTGGGAGGTGGATAGTCCACAAGCCTAGTCCTGTCATAAGAAATGAGGAAGGAAGGAAACTATTCTAGATTAAAAGATATTTTAGGGTCATCTAAGTGCAATGCATGGTGCTTGATTGGCTCTTATGTTTTTTAAAAAAAGCTATAAGTGACACTTTTTGAGACAATTAGGAAAACCTGGATACAGACTGGGTATTAGAAATACTTTTTAAAATGTTCTTATGCTCTTATGTATCAAAATGATATTGTGATCGTGTAGGAAAATGTCCTTTTTCTGGAGCCACATGATAAAATGTTTAGGGTAAAGAGCCATGACATTTGTAATTTTACTTTATAATAATATATTTATATACATATATATTTATATATATATTTACATATATTTATATATATTTATATACATATATATCTTGTTAAAAATCATAGAAATGCATGAATTTTACTTTATATAAATTATATCTCAATAAGCCTGACTTTATTCAATAAAGACTATATTCAAATACAGAAAAATAAATGGATGTAGCTTAAGTACAGACATAGGTATAGATGAAGCTAATAAGGCAAAATGTTTACAATCATTGAATCTAGGTTGAGAGAACATGAAAGCCCATCGTACATGTTTCTACTTGTGTTTTAGAACATTTTCAAGGTAAAAACCTTTCAAAGTTCTTTATAACTTACGAAGTCATGTAGCCGTTGACATAATTCTGATTCAATATGCGAGCCCAGCAGCCGGCACCCATGGCATTGTTCAAAGTGCTAAAATCTTCAGAAGACCAGAGCTTCTTCTTAGTCAACCGTGCATCCTTGACCGTGTGGGTCCCAGGATAATGAGCTCTAGGAAAGGAAGGGTAGGAGGAAATGGGGAAAGGTCAAGTGGCACTTAAATCCATTTGTTAAGCAAATGAAAATAAATCTTCTCCAGCATGTTCTATTTTAAAACAACAGCGACTTCCAGGTAGATGCTGATTGTCGTCGGCATCTGCTTCCCATCCTTGTGTCTCAGGATGTACTTAAGATGAGATAAACCTATAACCACACACAAGATGGGAAGGAAGATCAAAAACGAGGTTCCACCAAGATTCTATTCTTGATAGATGAATCAGACATTTCTGCTTCTGGAAACCATAACATGTATGGAAGCATGTTGATAGAGGGAGTTAACAAAGGAGGCCAGAGCCTAGGACACTCCAAGAGACGAATAAGGTGGAGACAGGGTTCATACTTCCCACGGGAAGTACAGAGTTTGGGACACTGGAAAGGAAGAAGAAAGAAGCCAAAAACAAAAGACCAATGAGTCTATTATATAAAGTAGTACTTCCTCCCTTGTTCCCACCACTAGCAGACAGAGAAAGACAACTTGGCATTTACTCCCAGACACAGACAGAAAAACAATAAAGACCCACACAGAGTTCCTTGAATATTTATAATCCCAGAGCAGTGGTGGTCCTCAACCAGGTGCTTTTGCCTGGCACAGCAGGCAGGGTTTACTACTGGTATCTGGGGAGTAGAGGCCAGAGATGCTGCTAAACATCCTACAGGTATAGGATGGGCAGGTCCCCACTGCAAAGAATCATCCAGTGGAAATATCAAACCTGCAGAGGCTGAGGAATCCTGCCCCAGAGTAATGAGCCCTTCCCCTTTGAGAGGAGTCAGTCAGTTGAAGTATAAATGTATATTCATTATTCTAAGGGTAAACTATTGCCATAATGATGATGGTGAAAACTAGTGATTACTGACTAAAAACAACTAAGAAATTTCAAATGTAGAATAGAAATCAGACTGACAGTTAATACAATAATAAGAGAGCATATGAGCTAAATAACTTTAGGGACATGAGTGTATACTTTTTAGGCCAACAATTTATTACAAAAAATTTAATAACAAAGGGAGATAATAAAGATTGGATTATCTCTTTGTAGATTGGTGTAGCAGTATCCATTATATTAAAAGAATGATTGTGAAGTCCTGTTTTAGTTTGCAGTTATTTATTACCATTTAAGTTATGAATCTTTTAAGAGAAAGTCCTATTAGGGAATTCATTAGACCTAGTAAAGATGGATTAGGGCACATTATCAATTTGGCATTCCAGAACTTCATAGGAAATAAGTATTATATACTAGTATATATAATAGAGAACACACACAAAAAAACAGTTGAACAAAAATGAGGTTCCACCAAGATTTGTTGAGTCACTGACCTCAGTTGAAAATAGGCATCTATTCAGTATTATAAATATACACTACAGAGACCACACGAACAAGCTAGCACCCAAGGGGGTTAAGAAATTATTGCCGCGTCACCATAATGCCCAACTCAGAAAATCTGGCTACTAATATTTGTAGTGATATTATATCCCAAAACTTTATTCCATGACATGATATTCAACCTCAATGCCTCAGCCAAAAGCCAAATGTATGTTTCTTGTATCTCTGATTAAAATATACTTTATAAAAAAATAAATCCTGAAAAAGAATATGCTATTATCTTCCCAATGATCTTTAGATGTTGGATTCTGAGTAAATTCTAATTCTAGTTTAGAATTCTAGTAAATTCTAATTTATAGTTTTCTCATTTTCTAATTTTTCTATAATGAGCATGCATTATTTTTATAATCTGAAAAAGTATTTCCTATAAAATTATAGAAATAGATGTTATATCCCTCATTCAGAAAACAACAGAACTGTTACATTACGTTTAAAACCTGCTCAGATTAAATGATCTGAGCAAAGAAGGGCAGGACTAATAGTGTATCTGGGTCTCTTCCAATATCCGGATCCACTGCTAATTCAACAAAATGTAAAGGTTCTTTAGGAATATAATTGTTTAAATGTATGTAATCAGACAAAATGTCTCTCATTTCACAGTATGATATGGCCATAGGTTCATCCTTATGGAGGCTGAATAATGGGAACATGGATATTCATGATATTATTCTGCCTACATTTGTGTACATTAAAAATTCTTCATTAAAAATGCCATTAGATCAAGCAGAATCTTTACACTGAATAAACAACAAATTACACACACGTGTATTCTATTATTTAAATATTTATGTACATTGTCATGATATTTAAAATTCACTTTTTAAAAAAAGTAGCTGAAAGTAGAATTGTAGGAAAGTGGTCAAAAGTACAAAATTCCAGTTATAAGATCAATAAGTACTAGGGATGTAATGTACAATGTAATGACCAGTCAACACTGCTATACAATATATAGGAAAGCTGTTAAGAGAGTAAGATCCTAAAAGTTCTTATAATAAGAATTATTTTTCTTTTCTTTTCTTTTTATTGTGTCTATATGAGATGATAGAGGTTAACTAAACCTATTGTGGTAAACACCTCATAATAGATGTAAATCAAACCATCATGCTATATAGCTAAAACTTATATAGTGATGTATGACAATTCTCAATCAAACTGAAAAAATAAAATAACAAAAAATAAAACAGGAAAAAAAAATACTGCTGGAACACAGTGAGGCCAGGGCCCAGAAAGAAGACTGAAAGGCAGATTGGACTAAGGAGCAAGGTCAAAGCCATATGGCTAAGGAGACATGACAAAAGTCATGGCCAGTGATCATGCCACATCATGTACACAGTGTTCATGAGAGAACTCCACCCACAGGGAGTCTGATTTCACGACATTGCCTTTTATAACTTCTAAAAAATTTAAGTACTATTCTGCCCCAAATCTAAACAAACCCATGTTTTATTACTGCAAACATTAACAATTTTTAAAAATTACCAATTCCTTTTATTGTCATAGAAAAATCCCAAAATTCATACATTTCAAAGAAAAAGGAATGAAATACCAGTTATACAGGCTTTCATTAAGTAATTAGAAAAAAGCTACTTTCTGAAAAATATAACCAAATGGAGAGGAAAACACAAAAGAAAGGCACAGTCAATATTCAGAGCAAGCATCGGACCCTTAGTTTTCAAAGTAAGACATCCCTTACCCTATAACATCAATCACTTCCATGAGCTCCTCGTCGAGCAGCATAGAAGCAGAAATGGGCTCCCAGAGGTTGTCGCTCGCTATGATTTTCACTCGCTCGAGACCTTGATAGTTCAGCATTCTTCTTAAAACCTTGTGGAGGGTAAACAGGACATAGGAAAGGTTACAAAAGAGACTGCAGCTCTTGCATTACCACCAAGGTAGCTAAACTATCTTCCAAAATCAACATACTGGACCATAGTGTCAGTATTATTTCTCAGTAGAAATGTGGCTCCAATGGAAAATAAAAAAATAAACCTATGAAGTTAAAATGTTTTAGAGGGATTTTCCCTCTACCTTCAAAATTATGTTTAACCATAAAAAATTTGGGTGGGAGAGTGGAAATTTTTTTAAAAACCATAATAGTACTCCCCAGAAATAACCACTATTGTTTTGGCATGCATTCTTAGGAAATTTCTCAGGCAGACACAAAATCAAATTGGGATCGCATTAAACATACCATTTGGTAAAATGGTTTAAACTGTAATTTTATTTTTAGTATTTTCCTGTGTCTCTAAATATTCTGCCATTACTGAAAATATTACAGCTCTCAAGATTTTGTAGCATACTAGAAATAACCATAAGAAATACTCCCTTGCTGCCCGCAAGTCTTTCACATGTACAGAGAAAACAGGCAATAAAACCTACCTGTAAGACTATCCACCCAGGAAAATCCTATATAATAAAAGCCTAATATGCTAAGTGTCCAGTCGTCCAGTCATCCGTTCAACCAATCAAAGCGTAATATGCTAATGATATGCTAAGGCAGCTCAATCGTTCACTATGACGAGCACTGACCACCAGGGGACAGACGCTCCTACTGGTAGGTTAGCTGGCTGCTGGGGTCCAGGCGATCGGGACTGAGCAAGACAGGCCGGACACGCCCTTGAGCCCTCCCACAGTCCCTCCTCGGCCCTGATCATGCACTGGTGGGGTCCCTCAGCGTGGCCTGTGCCCTCTAGCAATTCGGGACCCCTCAGGGGATGTTGGAGAGCCGGTTTCAGCCCAATCCCGCAGGCCAGGCCGAGGAATCCCACTGGTGCACAAATTCATGCACCGGGCGTCTAGTTAAAAATAACAATCTAAGTGTTAACAGGAAATAAATCAGCAAAGCACTGAGTGCCTACTCTGGTGTTCATAGGGCCCCGAGACTCACATGTCCCTTTCCCCCACCACCCTCAGACCCCATATGGGATTTTCCAGGCACAACCTAAAAACCACATCACTGAAAACCCAAGGTCAGTCTCAAATACAACGTAAATGGCAAAAGTAAAAGAAACAGTAGCCCTGCCATCTACACTAATAAAAGAGAAACATGGTAATTAGCGTACAACCGCTACCCTTCCCATTGGCTAATCAGCATATCCTTATGCAAATTAACTGTCAGCCAAGATGGCGGCCGGCAGCCAGGCAGCTGGAAGCGAACATGAGGCTTGCTTGCTCCAGTGACTGCAGACTCCAACGTTCCCCGCCTGACTTGCTGGCCTCTGAGCTGCAACTCTAAGAAACTATGTACTATGTTGCAAATAAGAAGCTAAACAAAACCCCAGAAACCAGCTTTCAGCCTGCCGGGATCTCAGAGCTGGAGTTATACATTGTTTCGATTATAGAACGCAAACAAACCAGATACCTGCTTTCAGCCTGTGGCCGTGGCCAGCCTGAAAACGGCCCTCAGCTCCTCATCCAGGCCGGCCAGGCACCCCAGTAAGACCTCCACCCTGATCCGGGACACCCTTCAGGGCAAACCAGCCAGCCCCCACCTGTGCACCAGGCCTCTATCCTATATAATAATCCTATATAATAAAAGGGTAATATGCAAATTGACCCTAACAGCAGAATGACTGGGAATGACTGGTCACTATGACACACACTGACCACCAGGGGACAGATGCTCTTATGCAGGAGCTGACCCCTGGTGGTCAGTGCACTCCCACAGGGGTAGCTATGCTCAGCCACAAGCCAGGCTGAGGGCTGCCAGCACAGCGGTGATGGCAGGAGCCTCTCCCACCTCCTCAGCAGCACTAAGGATGTCCGACTGCAGCTTAGGCCTGCTCCCCGCTGGCAAGTGGACATCACCCGAGTGCTCCCGGGCTCCCAGAGGGATGTCTGACTGCCAGCTTAGGCCCGATCCCCCGGGGAGTGGGCCTAAGCCAGCAGGTGGACATCTCCGAGGGGTCCCAGACTGCAAGAGGGCACAGGCCGGGCTGAGGGACCCCCCCCCGAGTGCACAAATTTTTGTGCACTAGGCCTCTAGTTGTTATATAAATGGCTTATTTGTGTTCTATTCATTTCTACTCTAAAAACAAAACCCAGACTATTGCCAGGGCCTCACAGCGCATATCAAACCTGAACACTTACATTCATCTGCCATTACTGAACTCTTTATACAGGCATTTTAACAAACAGGACACCGATTCCAATAACATCTTGCTACAAAATGGCAATTACAAACTACAAGTTCTTATATCCTGAGATGTTTTGCTGCAGGTAAACTAAAGATTGAGAGAAACGGAAATGAAGTCTAAATTGTTTACAATAGCAGTTTTTCAAACCAAGGTAAGTTGAATTAGAATGCAATGGAATCAAAACAGACTCATAATAGTAAAAAATACATATAAAGTAAAATTTGGGACTTACAGGAAATTTTATATGCTTTCATCATGAATACAAATATTAAGATTTTGCTTAAATTTTGTGTCACAACTAGCAAAACAAATAACTATGCTGTAAAAAAAATACAGTTTTTACTACTAATTTCCATAGAACCATAAAGGAATTATTCACTGATAAATTAAAGATTAAAAGATTTTTAATTTGTACAGACCTTGATATAATTGATGTCAAATGACCTCTCATTCCAAATCTGCAAAACAAAAAGTCAAAAAGTCTGAAGTAAAGTTTTTAAATGTCAGAAAATACACATAATCATTAAATGCCACTTCTCTCATCATCTTTCATATCACCTGAAAAGCCATTTTTTTCTTACTTTATGGAATGGCCTGATATAGAATTTATAGATATTTGTAAGACAATATAATTTTAAAATTAAAATACTATTTTCAAAAATCTTAAAAGCAATGTGGGTATTTTTAAAAACAGTGTATACCAGAGATTTCAAAAAAACAGAATATGCACTCAACCTTTCGACCAATATTGACAAATGGATGTGTGCCAGGACCTACGCTGGCACTGAGACCTAACAGACAGAGGGATTGCGGCAACGATTCCCACAAGTTTCCAACAAGGACAGCAGGAAGCCACGTGGTCACAGGTACACCACACAGAAGTCATTTTCCCAGCGCGCACAGAGAATCACAGTCATCTGCTACACGAAAGCAAACTCCTACTAAGGATGAAAGGAACATACACATAACCCTTAGGTTTCATATCAGGAAGCATGGGAATTTATTGCTGAAAGAGAACCTCATGACTTTCATTTTGCAGCTGAGAAAACCATTAGTAACTGAGATGAGTCCATATCCAGGTGCTTTAACTCTTTTTACTCCAGGGATACAGGGAAGAGTTTCTCATCAAAGAAGCTCCTCACCATAGCATGGGATTATCAGGCGTCTAAGAAAGGTGTGAATCACCCATTATTTACCAAAAAGAGCTTCTAAGTGTAACTTTACCATACAGAATACCATTAGACCCAAACCTACATTTAGTCTCAATATAGGGTAACAATTTAACATTTAAGAAAGCTTTCATATACAAACTAATTTTCAGTTATAACTTAGAGGAGGATAATAAAAACAAGTGTATTCATGCTTCTGGCTGACGGCCCATGGCTCATCCTCATGTCCTATACCATCCCTCCCAGGACACAGCAGTTTGTCTGTTCCCGTGACTACTCCTCCCACTGAATCCAGGAGCTTATCACTCCTGTTACCCTAGAACAGTGGTCGGCAAACTCATTAGTCAACAGAGCCAAATATCAACGGTACAACGATTGAAATTTCTTTTGAGAGACAAATTTTTTAAACTTAAACTATATAGGTAGGTACATTGTTATTAACTTAATTAGGGTACTCCTAAGCTGGCCTTTGCTAAAAAACATCCTCAATCTGAGGGGTCGACCTCAGCGAACGTACCCCCACTTCTTCTAACGCCACTTCTTCTAAATAGACTCGCCCAGGCCGAAAACCGACTTCTGCGCATGGGCCACATAGTTTCAATCGCACTGTATGTGTGCGCCCACACGTGGTATTTTGTGGAAGAGCCACACTCAAGGGGCCAAAGAGCCGCATGTGGCTCGCGAGCCGCGGTTTACCGACCACTGCCCTAGAACATAATAGTCAAATGTACCTGCACCATAGTAGGAGCTCAATAATAGAACTCTATCCTCTTAAATTTTTTGACAGTTGATGCAAAAGAAGAGTCTGTGCAGTGTAAGAGGTGAAAGCACATGACCTCTAAGGTCCTTTCAATTTCCAAATTCTGTGACTAAATGGATTCCGTAGATTCTCACAGATAATAGCTACTTAAGACATTGACATCATCCACTTATCCATGTTACTAAAACTGCTCATTTCGAAGCTTATAAATATTTCAGAAAACTTGCCAGAATTCCATCTCTCCATCTCTGCTTAGATCATCCTTAGGTAATTGTTCCGTTAAAGTC